AAACCCATAACTATGATCACTCCAGGATATATACATATATATATACAACTAGGAAGAGCAAAGTAACGATGCCGCTTAAGTTTTACTCACCACAAGAAAACTCTAGTTTCGTCAGCTTTTAAAACTATGTTTGAAATAATCACTTTTGCTATAACGCCTCTCCTTGGCTACCTGACACGTGAACGACTGACTGAATCTGTTTTACAGCAGAAAGTCATGATGACCACACAGACTAGTGCATTAAAACAGTTGATGGACGGTTTTCTTGTTCTCCCTCATTGATTTTTATTAGCGATCTTCGTCCACCGGTCATCGTAAATAATTATTATTGGGACAGGAATTGTTAAAAATTATATTCAACACGAGACTCTCGTTTCACTCACCACAAGACGGTCCTGATGAAATAAGTGATGAGTTCAGAGAAGAAAAGCTAACTTCTTTATTTCGACGACTCAATCGGTTCGCATCACCCAATTCAGTGTAGCCGATTGAAGCCTCATGCCTAATCTCTGGTTCGCATGGTCGAGCTTCAAGTGAATAGTGGTAAAACAGAGTTCCTTAAAAAATTCTAGCTAATCAGTTGATTCTTTTGTTTAGTTTATCTGACGCTGTGCTGAGACAGCGTGGAAATTTGACGAGTCTGCCAAAATTATAAGGCACATTCTGGTTCACAACTATGCTTAATAGATTAGCACCTTAATGCGTCGATATCGCCGTATGTATCCTCTATTACTGTGTTCTTCCCGTTCCACGTTTTAAACGGTTTTCTATGATGTACTTTATCCAAATAAAAAACAGTGCCTTTGTTTGGGTGCAGTTGTCGCAAGATGATGTCCGAGGCACCGTAAACACACAAGCCAAACTATCTAAAGGAGCTGGTGGCTATCCTTTTTATGAACAGGAAACAGCCGCATGTAGGTGTTGTTCCAATGAACAGCAGGACCGAGAGCAGGTTGTTAAAATATTCAAACTGAGAACTGGAAGCCTACATGCAATGAAATGTGACGGAAAATATAGACTCAAAGACTTAACCCGAAATCCTTATTGGCTGTTGGTCCTCCATAGAACGTGGCACAATTACAGTTGCCACGCGATCTACGGATGACGTTCACGTCAGCCAACTTCTAGCTTGAAAATTCGGAAACAATGATGAAATATTCATTGGACTATACTTGAAAGCAATGGCACATTGTACGTAAAATGACTGTCACGTCAAACCAGCAGGTGGGCAGATAGAATTGAGCTTTGGAAGTATTTTAACCAACATGTTGCAACACACTGCAATTGGTTGTCAAACCACACCTTTTCTACTTGGTACATGACTTTTCCTGCCGTTATTTGTGCAGCTAGGCATGTGTCTTTTCGATGTGAAAAGTTACCGTAAAATTCACGTGATTCGTGTTCGTGAAATGAAAATTTCACTGCCTTTCCTGAGTGGGCTCAAAAGCTTCTGACAATACAATCTTATATTTTAACTTTATGGGTTTGGGAAATAAGATCTGGTTTGGACTCATTGATCCACCTGGAACTTTGATATTTTGCTTAGAATTACTAAAGCTACACACACCAGAACTCAGAAAACGTTTACATCTTTCCATTTCTGGTCAACGGACGAAAGGTACTCAAAAAACAAGATCCTTGATACTGTGATATTGGGTTAAAAGTTTGTGCCTGCCAGGACCGCTGGAAAACCACGTTGTTCGCAATCAAGACTGAATCCCAGCTTTAAATATTAGAGCTTATGATACAAGCAGTTCCATCAGCCAATGAGAAACTAGTGTATTTTTTATAGACGTAATACAATGCCCATAAGTTTGATCAAAACTTTTCCACAGCCAACGACCCGGATATCAGTGAACTTGAACTGAACATGCGATCAGTTGTCCCATGCCAGACAGCGGTTTAGTCGACGAAGAAAACGTTTCTTGCTGTATCCACTTAAGCTTCACCAATAAAATAGCAAGCATCTCGCGCAACCATAGGTAAGATAAAGTGCTCGCGATTTCACCAAAATTCTCTAGTGAACGGCACGAAAGCAGAGATCAAGCTGGACTATAAGACAGTCCTTCACGTGCCTTACATACCAATGTGCATCAGCCTTAAGTGGTATGCTCCCAAGTCTCCACCTGAAGTTTTGGCGCTGTATGAAACATTGGTTAACAAAAGTCACCTCTACCAAACACATTTTCACGCGGCCTACACGAAAAGTACTGCCAGCATGATATTTTCACCTGCTTTCCAGCCCCTTTTGACAGACCGACAAGTGGAAGTTACGAGCCAACTACACACAAGGAGTGCGTTTTGGAAGTCAACTAATTAGATTAGTTAAGATGGTCAACAAACTGTTTGCTGATCACTACAGTCAAACTGAGCTGCCAGATGTACTGTAATATCTTTGACATTTGGATGGACTGCCTCTTTTCGCTGTTGCGTTTTTCGGACGACTTAACTTCTTTTTGGTAGCGAACAACTAAGTTACGCAAGAGCATTCGGATTCTTGTATACCCCCCACTGTGTAATTTCAACATCCTCTCGCATTTCGCAGATAATGAACTTATTTTGGGCAATCCAATTCTCCACAGCACCATAATCGTTTGTTGGCACCCATCTGCACAGGAAATACAATATTAATGTGAGGCACCAAACTGTGACCACTAGAAACCAATGGGTTCTTGGCTTTGTTAAAGACACTTGAATCCAGGATAATCCACCTTTTATATGGAGGATGACGAACTCGCACTCCTTATCATTTGACCAAGTTGGGTACATCGCGCTCAATTTATTGTGAACTAGCCTATTATCCCGGCTAAACTGATAGAGGAACGGTCAGACATATGCACCTGAAGTTCAAATAAACAGATGGGTGACATTCAGATCATACGAGTTACCCAAAATGAAGGATAGAATGAATTGTGGCATCTCCCACAAGGACACATGTGAATCACTCAGAGGAAATGATAGTCCTCTACGTAAAAGGTTAAAGCAATTATGATACATTTGCTCGAAACAAGTGAACATCCTATACAAAAGAGGCAGTGACTCTTGATTGGCCCGCATCACTAAGATGTCGTTCAATTAGACTGTTATTCTGGGTCGTGTTTTGTTTTGGGACGAACTGATGCGCTTTGTTTGTAGACCCTTTAATTGAGCCTTCGGAGTTAATGAAGTTCATCTCATTATTTCTTGGTTCCACTGCAGTAATTTTACTAGGCCGTGCATTCTCATCTTGATTGCTTGCATTACCCGTCAGAGGTGAATCCTTTAGCTCGTTTTGTGTGACCGAATGGGACTGGTTCAAATGCAAAGTACCGAGTGTGAACATTCTTCTCTCGGGGGTGACGGGCTTCACTTCAGTTTTGAAGCTTTTCCCAGTTTTCATTGGCTGACTATGTGGGCTTAGATGCAACCGAGCGGCCGAATGGTTCATTATTAAGGATGGAAAGTCGGGATGGGCGAAGTTGTGACGTTGGGTATTGACAAATTCGGGAGAAAGCCTTGCTCCATCTGCTCCATATGTCATGTTAATAGATGGTTCATTCAGTTCCGTATAGTCTGAACCAAGTGTTGTCCATAATGATCCTGAAAATTTAAATAGTGTAGTTTTAGATCGGCATTCTTACCGAAGGTTTGAAAACGGTTATCAGACTGGCTGAGGAAGATAAGGGAGTAGAATTTTGGAGAATGTAAGTCTGGTATAGGAATAAAGTTGTCCCATGTGAACACTTTCTTTGCAGAAGAGGTCGCGATTCCCTAACCTGTTTGCCAAATTGAGATAAATTAAAGAATGCAAGTGCATCCTATCTGCTGATACTGATTACAGCAGAATGAAATAATACAACTGAAGCAATCACCGGCACTTGTTGAAATACACTCATCTAGAAACTACGGTTGTGTTGGGGCCTCAGAGGAGTTTAAAGAAAAATCAGTAGATTTACCTCAAGCTCCTATGAACCGGTAGCTTATCAATCAGTACTAAACTTTTTTCTTCCGCAGACCTGATATACTCTATACATCAGATGCACTTACTGTCTACTGTCACGAACCAACTTATCTGTATAGGAAAATTCTGTTACCTTAGCCCACAAAAACAAGTGCTTTGCGTACGGTTGGCCGATTACAGCTTTCTGGTCCCCATGAAATATGTAACCACGGTTCAATTACCCAATCATTGTGATGCATTCTTCTGTGACAGCAGCCAGATGAGTCCAACTGTGTTGATTTGTTTTCATTCGATCAGTCCTTCCTAAGCCATTTATGTTTGCTGTCAGAGCTCCATCTTGAGTCGTATGTGTAAAAGGCAGTCAAACACATATCGATAATGCGCCCCGGTCAGACGATTGCCTTACATTTCCCCTTGGGAGCTTTTCATTTGATCGGCAATCTACCTCGGGATTTAATTTTTTGCTCAGCTGTTAATCAACCATAGACTGGTGTGCTGAGAAACTTACCCTCATTACGAGCTCTCACCTAGATACTCCAAGGATAGATCTGTATAGGATTATACCGTATCCAAATGCCGTATTACAGAGAATATTCATTGATACAAATTCTTTTGCGTCTGTTTCCTCATTGACCAGGGTGTTGTGAACAGTTTTGATGACAGCCATAAAAAACAAGACCAAACAATGTTAGCTTCAACATAAGACGTTACGCTTTTCGTGAGTGTTGTGACAGGCTTCAGGAAGAGACAAAGTGCACAGCATGTCATCCAGAGTCATTATTCCAGCAGTGTAAACACCTGTACAGCATCTTTAAGTTGGTGACCACCGTTTTTCAAACGAACCTTTCAGAAATGTACACTTTGAAGTTCAGGAGCAAAGTTTCTGAGCGAAATTCGTCCGAATGTCAACCAGTTAGTTTATAGGTGAATACAGTAATACGATAGTCTAAAATTCGACCTAACTTTCCCTACTAACACATGCTTAATTTGCAAACAGGTCTAAAACTCAGTAAAAAATGATAGCTTTAATCGTGGTTTCATATTTAAAACGAGCGAATACTTACGTGGAAATTTGTCCGTACAGCATTTGTCTAAAGTGAGTAATGTATCAGGATCCTCTCGCTCCAGCATCAGATATGCTGGGCCCAATGTCCTATAGTTACAAGAGGAATTCACATTGGTTGATATCGGTGATGATTTGCCTGTTTGATATCTGACCGTTGAACTGGTGTCGTTTGGGTCCGAAGTACTCACTTCCAACTGGATTTCTCCAAACGGATTCTGTGGGGAAGTCGAAAAGGAGGATTAAAAAGAGACAGAAGATGCCGTCTTTTCTCACATCCATTTTCAACCGTTCGTACTACTATGACAGCCTCATGACTTACTATTCACTTACCTAACTCGTTTGCACTTTTCTCCATCTGTTTTTCTGTAACTTGTCACGGTTTCTGTGCAGCAACTGACCTTAACACACTGAGTTTCCTTTCCGATAGAGATATATGAATGTGTTAGTGTGCCTGCTTACCCATCTGCATTCGCCATCCGTCTGCTTAGCCTACCCCAGCTTCCCCTACAATGACACCAGGGTAGCTGCGGCACCAACTGGTATCATGAGAGTGAACTCGAAAACGATCATCTAAAAAACAGACTACCAAGATCTCATTTCACTTGGAGTGGGTTTCACGTTGAGCTGCGGCGGCCAGCAATGTTAACGGAACATCTCAGAATCATTAACAGAACAATCACAAAGTTGATGAGAACCGCTCGAAAACCTGCGACCAGTTTTGATGTTCACTGTTCTTATGGATAGTTTGCTCTCACAAGAAAATACAGTATGATATATCAAATGTTGTCCGAATGGAAACTTGATACATAAATGAACAACGCATTCAGTTGAAGAATATTCTGATTGATAGATTCAGTTGCAACTCTCTTTCAAATTCACTTTATTTGCAAATTGGCGTAGTTGGAGAGGAAGGCAAAAAATCGTGGTTTTTCATAAAAATGTGCTCACTTGTTTGTAAGTTGTACCGTCAATTTCAAACAACTCTTCCTTTAGATATTCCGATTCGCTCGACATACGTGTGACTCGAGACTCCATTACAAGGACTCAACAGTCTTAGTGAGACCTTTCAACCAAACAAGATCCCTCTGGCCATGCTGAATGTAGCTCATTACTACCGACTGATAGCAATCACCTACAGGTCATTCCTCTCCACGGGGATGAGCAACGCCAATGCGACAAAATACCTGCCCCATGAAATTTGACAAACTTATTTTCGCACCACACTGGGATTCATTAGGCTAACATTCAGTGCTCTCTGTCAGCCAGAATTTGCATAAGACCTAGACAAATCGGGTCTAGTAAAATTTCCGAATGAGTTAGCTTGTCGCTGCTCTCTCACGACTGTATCTGCTTGGTAAGCTTCACAACTAAATGCACGCCAAAATGAACAAACTGTAGATGACTACAATATACATAAAACTTTTGCCAAAATATATTAGCAACCAAGATTGCGTAATCCCTGGTAAAAAGGTACTCGTCCGAGTCGTATGATATTCCCGTAGTGTTGTAAAGCAGCGATACACTTGGAAGACTGTTCATAGCAGCCTAATTAGGTACGATTTGAGAAGCACGCAGTCTAACCAGTGATCGCACGCATCAACGCGATGTATAAGACATTGACGACACGTTACTTACCGGTAGCAAGTAGTCATGAATCTTACGCACGAAAAGTGGCAGAATAAAATATAAATGCGCCTTTGTCAGGTCAGAAAGAAACAGATGAGATTCAACTGTTGGTTTACAAAATGTCACGCTTCACACACTTCTGACAACTTTGCAGTCCACCATCAACAGAAAGCGTCTGAAAATGGGCTCAAAGAAGGAGTCTCGAAGACTGGTGCAGTCTTCAATCACCTTCGGGAGCTTAGGTGTGAATAAACACCGAAACTGAAGCGTATCAAGCTGTCGTGTTATTTATTTCCAATAAATAATAGCGAAACCTAGACAGAATACAGATGAGATGTCAGCTTCTTACGATGACTAAAGTCAGTAATAGGGTCTATCCCATATCTTTTTGATCAAATGTACAGACCGAAATCCGAGCACTAGAAAATCACTCTTGGAACCGAAGGTAGTCTTGACCGAAGCCGGATTAAGCAACCAAAACATACATCCCACAACAACTTTTCTACAACCAACTAAAACTGGCGTTTGAAGTCGGCAATATCGGGAATTCCGCTACTTCGGCAGCTGTCAACTACGTTGGAGAAACTCTAAACTCCACTTTGGATAATGAGTTTGACAGAGAGGTCTGAAGAGGAGCCATCTACGCAGAAACTGAAAAAGACGGGACGCGCCTGAATTCTGGAAAACAGACTATCGATCCTTGGGTTTTCTTATCCTCCCACATTAAGCAGGGCCACTTGCACTCCTCAAATTTCGTCAACCGTGTTTTAGCTGGATCTGCTTTGTTGGTCACCAGCAAAATAATTGCTAGACGTGAACAGGTGAGGTCGAACAAGGCTTGTTTAGCCTTTTGGTTGGTGCATCCCTGAAACATTATTAGCCTAAGCACGAAAATATCAACTCTCTGTTTGACTGGATATTGCCTGCTTTTCTATTACTATTTTAAGACTCAACGAAAGTTATTCCGTTCTTTCTTGACACCAAAATCATTAGTAAACGAAAAAAGATTCAGCAGGCACACACCCAAGGAGGTACACAATTGTCCACTGCACTTAGTTTGCACACAGGTACAATACATTTCAAATAGATGAATTCCACGATTACACAAGAGCAGTGTGGTTAAAAGGTAACGTTAGATCTGTCAGTTGATGGATTTTGGTCTAGAATATACCATTGTATAAGTTGCTGATAAAGATGACTTATGGCATATTTTTCCAGAATCCGTAAAACACATGGAAATCCAGACGAATGTTGTGCCTACTCGGTTAAGGGATGCCATTACTATAAGCCAATAACCTTATATTTACTGGGTGGTTTTAAAATCGCTCAACTTATACTATGAATACAAACCCAACCACGGTAATATAAAAAATGTCCACTTACATGATGTGAACCAGTGAGTGAATTATGTGTTTCTGTGGCTCTCACACTAGGATCTGAAAAGCAAGGAGGTATGGAAGGTCACATCCACGTATATTTTTACAGATATACATCAAATGAGGTCGGTTTCCGCGTGAATCTGATGGACCGCGGGTGTAATACAATAAAGTCACGAACTAAGACAACAGGACATTGTCAAATCTTTGCAACTGGATAAGTTGTTCCGACGGCAAGACACATACTGCACTTGCGTTTATAATTGATTGTTCCATATTGCACAGTTGCACAAGCCAATTTCCATTGCTTGTTAACGTAAATCTTTCGAATGATACGACTGGCTTTTCAACAGAGACTCAAAGAGTGTACTCCATTAGGGTCCATCAAAAACGGTAAAAGCCACTGTCAAGGAGAAGGCCATGTTCCTAACCCTTTTATTCCCGACGACCAATTGTCTAACAGAATGCAGCAGAAACTGAAGGCAGGCCCACGACGCATTTGATGGGCCGCTAAATTACCTCTTTTCAACAACTTGGTGTACAGCACCGACCGACATGTAGACCGGAGAACCAGTCTGGCTCTGATATGTTTTAAAATAACGAGACATCGTATACTTGAACGAATCAATGTGAATCTCCGACACCACTAGGAAAACAAAAGAGAGGAACCCATGCACACACTAAACAGCCAGAGTGATTAAATTCCCCACTGATCATCAGTGATGTGTTCAACCGGATAGTAAACCGAATCAGCAGAGTTCCTTCATTTTCTTGGTAAGGACACCAAATTAATGCACCTAGCCATCAGTAAGACCTACTCGAATGTTACCTTCAGAGTCTTGCGTCTATCCTGCTAGTCCATCTGTTGTTTCGCAGTATCGTCTTCAAAGTTCAAGAGCTACTTAGCCGTTTAAAGGGTTGATCACGTCTTCTTAAATTTCGTTCATATGCAATTCGACCAAATCGCAGTTGAAATGCTCATTCAAAATATTGGCTGTTTCCCGTAGCAAAGACCTTATCCATCTCCCGAGCTTTTGACGTCCACCAGAGCTTTCGGTCTTTCCTTAGACTCTTCACTACTTGGCGTTTGAGGAGTCTGCGTCGAGATTTGCACCGTGGAACTCGTTGCCTGCTGGTATAGCTTTCCTGGCATCAGCCATGGATGGCGATCGAATCGGAGAAGTCGGACAGACTGATTCAAAATTCTGATCCAAGAGGCAGCGGACGGTAGAGTTTTCTTTGAGGACCCTTCCCGGACCAGGTGACTCAACAGTCTAACCTGCTTGGTCGCAGGGGGTTAGCCTAACCCGTAGGTGCAGGGAATAAATCATTACTTTCTCATTCCTGATGAGGCTGCGCACAGCAGGTGCCTTCTGAGCAGCACCGGGCAATTTGGTTTTAAAAGTATTTTGACCGTATGGGGTAATGCGCCGGTGGCCACGGTCAACCTTTGGGGGATCGGAGTGTGGGGTTTTCTGGGCCGACCTTTTCTGACCCGTCCTAAAGCGGGAGAAGGTGGCACCGCTGCTTTCATAGATATGGACATGCTGGTCACCTGGGGAAACCAACTTACTGCCTTCACACTTGTCACAGAGAACAGTACGACCTTAATTTCAGATCACCTCGTAGCACGATTACTTGTAGTACGGGGTTCCACTGCTCTTGGTTTGGCTGCTGCCCTTTAAACTTCCTGGCATGGTAGCACCTTATGGAACGAAGTTCCAGCCAGTGTAGCCCGCGGGATCATTGCAGCACTCAAACCCGACCACCACGTTAAGGTGACAGCTTAAGGTTGGGTCAAAATACTGATACAGAGCAGTCTACCTTCTTGACTGCTTAGCTTAGTGAATCAAGGGTGTTTGGAGTCTTAAATGGATTCGCTTGTTTTTTCCTTGCCTATGCAGACTACAATCCAACTTTAATGGACGAAGAGATCCCTTTATGTGACCATCTGGAAAGCATAAAAGGGAAGAAACACAGCGGAGTTTGGATGGCGACCTAAAATGAACATAATAGCGGTGTGACAGATTTCATACTAAGTGCCATTGCATGAAGTGACGAGAGCTGGCAATCGTGATGGATCATACGGTAGAAAGCCTTCCGTATTTCTTCAGCACCATAGATCCATCGGAAAATATATTTTAGAGCTATCACATGTATTTGGGTTTCCCAATCTGGGATACCGATCGGGGTAAACGTTGTAACCAATATGATTCAAACCCGAATTTCGGTGTCAGAATTTGTTGTCTGTCATCTTCATTTGCACTGGTCATGAACATCTTTGTGGAACTTTATTCGTTTCCAGATTCGCCCAACCCACCGGAAGACAGTGCAACATCGATGAATGATACCATCTGAAATTCGTCTTAGTCGGAATGTAGAAGGATTTAGAATCCATGTAGTCCCGTAGAAAGCCCGCTGAAGGATTACAGGAAGGAAGCCGATAACCGGAATACAATCTACGGTGCAGCTGCCAATTCGTTGCATTCCAATCATTAGTTTTCTCCTAAATGTTTGCTTCATTTGGGCTCAGAATACTATAAAAACTGGTTGAGTGTTGCATATCACATGTCAGCTGTACGGATTGGTGACGATAGGTCAAAAGTGCGGCTCAAGGTGAGTGCCCCCTAATAAAGAGCGTCTACGAGAGCAGCCAGAACTTGGTAAGTCTCGGGGGTCAGTGTTCTTCGGCGACAGCAGTGTGGTGCTAGACTTGGTGGCCGTTTCATGCTACCACACCTTTTTGAGCGCTTGACTTTAGAGGAACTCTTATCCTTTCAACTTGCGCCATGCTTCATAGCTCCCATTTTCTAAAGTTTGATCACTACCAATAATTCATGAAAATTTCAAAAGTGGATTGCCTAACAAGTCGCACCTACGTAAGATATAAAATCCCAAAATCCCTAAAGCATTTCTGTGGGAAGGCATGCAATTCCGTCGAATAAATGATATTCACATCTTCCAATTACTATGTATGCATCTTCTTTCTTTTGTATCTACCCCTTGTATTCATTTTCGAACAATTCTGCTTCTGTCATACTCAGACTGTCCTGGTTCTCTTCCGGCAAAATAGGCAAACAATAGGCTCGTTCTCTGATCTGATTTGGGAACGTCAGTTCGGTGAATAGAGTCAAACCCAGGAACCCTATCAAGTACATTTCAAGTGATCATGGGGTCAGATGAAAGAAACAACCACTCGGTAAAGTCGGAGCAGCTATTGCGTCCTCGTGACAGGCTCTGAATCAGTTAGCGCGTAATTTGTGAATATATGCCCCTGTTCAGACATGGTGCTTCACATGTGTTGAACACGCTCCGGTAGAGTAGAGCTAAGCTGCCAGACAGTCAGGGGTATGCGCAGCTTAAGCATTCTAGCAAGAAAGCCTACCCCATTGAGTCCACTGTTTCACTCATTTTGTGTGGGCTGAACAGGATCAAAGCGCGATGACGGGAGATTTATTCAATTAAGTGTGATGTAGACACAAACTTTACACATCTGGCAGTTACACTCCCAAGCAATCGAATAATGTTGACTTGAAATTGATATACCTAATTGCCAACTTAGGATTCAGTTAATTCCGGCCTCAGTTATGTCAGCAGCACACGTCATTACTTAACCACTCTCTGTCAAGTTCGAAAGTAGAGAGTTAATGATAATAAATATCAGGAAAATCAGACTTGCTCACTAATCCAGCAACGACTTATGACAGCTCCAGATGGCTCGGTCTGATTCACGCAGCGTGCTATTGATACATTGGTTACGGTTATTGTCTTTCGTGGGTTACATTAAAAATACGTAGATTAGTTATCGAAATTTGGGCAATATCCGTATCAGTAAATGTTTCCATCTGCTTAATTTATAGAAGCACTAGGTGCGGAAATCGTTGAACAGTAGCCCTTGCGCATCAGACAGTCGCCCTCTTGAAAAATGTGCGAAAATCCGGGTGCTAAATGGTAATTAAAAACGACGACGTGCATGAATGTGCCTTCGTAATTTTATGTACTTTTCGTCAAAAAAGACCTACCCATGTACTTCTGTGTCGTACTGCGTGAATTCGACGGCCGTTTCATCTTCACATATAGGTAAGCTAGGCTGGCAACCACGAGGAGGAGAGCGAAGCAGACAGCCAGCGCCAACAAATAAAGGACCGGTAAACTTCCAATTCTGGGAGTTAGAAGTTCTGTTGATTTTGTGTCGGTAGAATCTTTTGCGTAGGTCTCTTCGAACCTGTTGTTGCTTCTGATGTGTGCACTACCAGCACCGGATTCTGGCAGATTTCCGGTGTTGGTTTTTCTTGGTCCAGCGGTACGAATCGGCTGTGGCGCATTAAATGTCTGTATGTTAAGGGCCTGTGTCTTAACTGACGTTTGCGTAACTGGATCAAAGTAAAATATATGTAGTCCAGTAATCGCATGTTCCGGTGAGGGGCCATCATCAGACGCCCGAATAAGCAGCCTGTCCGGTCGACGATACCGCGAGTGAACCAACTTGGAGTGAAAGGAGGAAGGTATTTCATCGGATGTCAACTGTTTGGAAAGAATGAGTCGTCCATCAGGATGAAGTGTAAATGTTTGTATTTCCGAACTGTCCTTATCTGCCATATTGTATGCTTCTGCTTTACTGGTTTGCATTTTTCTTGGAGGCGTGACACCAGAATAGATAATTTCGTACGAAACTGTGCCGTTGGGACCGTCATCCGGATCGATCGCAGTGAACTGATTGAAAGTCAAGCAGACAAAATGATATTACCGTGAAATGGAATCGATTTTGAGCTATAATTCGACAAATCGTTATTTTCATTAAAGCGCCTCGTAAATTGTTCCCGTGAGATGTTGAGCACATTGTTTGCTGCTGACATAAACAGTTACGGCCTTACAGCGGAACTGTTCAGTAGACCAGCCTGGAGATCATATTCAAGCGACAGCAAACCAAGAATGAAACTGAGTCAGTTGAACTCAGAGGGCTAGTAGTGAATGCCTATCAGTCTGTCTAAATGAATTGAGAATACTGGCAGTGATTATTATAAGAGTGAGGATAATCAAAATGTCTGGCCTGAGTCAGCAACTTTGCCAACCCGTGAAATTTCGGAAGCCAGTTCTTTAGTTGATTGAGGGAATATTCTGCTGGTCAAAAGTAAGTCAGTTGCTTGACGGTTGCGATCTTTCAATAAGCTATCGTCAGCTGAAATGTTTGAAGTTTGATGAGTATTTTTCTGGGTCTACCTGACAATAGGTTTTATTGAGTATAAACTTTTAGACGCACATAGGACGCACCATGCGCAAAGGAATGGAACTATTTGAGCGTCAACTAAAAGTAGACGTTGCATGATTTCCAACCATCTGATGGTTGTTATCAAGTAAACAAAGCACTGTTTATAAAATTCTAAATGTCACTAAATGAGTGATACAAAGAAGGAATTGATCGTCGATGTGAATGTCAGGCAAAGGTAGCTAATATCAATGATGGCTTGGATTGGCACTGTTGCGTATTTAGGTATACACAAGGAGGACCAATATGGCTTTTGACTATGCTCAGTGTAGTTCACGAATCTCAGACCATCAGGTCATCTGGTTTTAGTACTTTATTCAGTCAACCCTCGAAAGTGGGAGAAAACTGTTTTATCTTGATTATTTCTAAATTTCTCCGGTTTTGAACACTAAATTTAGGTTATCCGGTGTTCATACAGTTTCGGTGCACACTGGACCCCACGGGTGTTCGTGCGAAAGCTACTTGAAATTCAAGTGGGGCGCATCCTTGTGAAACGATAACAACAACAGTATCGACAAGTGCCATGAATGGTTTAATCCGATTTTCTTCCCTGTCTGTGATCCAGAAGGCGGCAAGCACTTCTAAAGTCGCTCATCAGCAAGATCGATAGAGCTGCAATTATCTCAAGTGGATACGTCTCAAACTTTCAATAGGCACAACACACCCATTTACGGTAAGGGGTAATCTCAAACATTCACATTCTGAAAGGAAAGGGCGATAATCCAAAGAAACTGAATTTGAAACCTTGAGTGTGCATATTTTGTGGTAAATTATGTAATTTCTACAGTGGGACTTTTGTATTGGTGCGCGAGTAGCGGATTGAATAAGAAAAATTAACAAGATATCCGGTCACCAATTACTTAGTCCTATACAAAAATTCATTGGGCGGTTTGTTCATTTGTGTGAAACGATGTAGACCTAGCGTTTCCCAGTTCGAAAAGTCTATCCAAGACAGTTTGGGTAAACACAGTTAAGTTAAAAAGTTATTCCGAGGAATGCCTGTGTAAGTTCCAGTAGCATAGTTTTCCGTATATTGCGACGCTATGTGCCATTGTTCACACTTTCGATCCTCTTCATGTGCTTTGAAATTTTACCAGTTAAAAGCACAGAATACCTGTGACACGTATGAGGCCAAAACGCCCGAGCCCAGATGTCGTCTGTTAGGTGAAAAGAATGAGGCACAACGGAATAATATAAATAGAACACATATATTACGGTAAAGAGGTTCTTGCCTAATTTCTACGAAAGCCACAATATACCATCAAAACCGTCCATGGTTCGGAAGTAAAATCGCTTAAATAGGTTCATTCTGGCTTTAGGGTGAATTTAATTTTTGCAGAAATGCTTAGTACAGTGGTAAAAATACGTTTCGATGATGATATCTTGCCGAGGTATGAAGTCCTTTGAGGTGAGGAAGGTATGAGACGAAGGAGTAAGCAAAGTGCTTGATGGTATTTTAAATAATTTGTTATGGGATTAAGGGTGCAGCCACACTGGAAGATTACGTATAAACCATAAACTGACTCCATGCGTGGGCTCCGTTCTATTATTAATGAATCAGTGATAAAGATTCCATGCCTGGTCCAATCTCTGTCGAACGTCTTTTTGCTGATTCATGTCCAGCGAACCTAAGCCATTCACTGGAAATTTCGTAGTCTCAAAAAGAAGAAAGATTGCGCGGTCCAAAATTGATTCCCATTACGACAGGTGGACCGTCTTTTAAGTTAGAATGGAATGTTCTGACCGGTCCACCTTCATGTTATGTATTTTTTATAACTTTTACAGTATTAAACATTGTGGCTTTGTGTGCTCAGATAGGGAGCATTTGGACGATTTTCTCTTATAAACCACTGCCTTAGTCGGAGCATAATAACATTCACAAGGCGGCGTATAGTGAGGCTACCATTGTACAGGCAATTAAAATAGAAATCGTTCAACTTAAGGACGTGCATTGCATGGCGTCGCATTCAACGTCTAATTTTGTTTCAATTGTACCACCTTCAAGCAAAAATGTAAATTACTGATGAGTCATTCACTCATTTAAATCTGAATCAGCATTCCTCAAGAATTATAAACATAGTGATTTAAGTTAAACGATTGAATAAACTCAATTTCATTGGCACCATATTTATCATCCGTCTTTTTCGTACTCAACCGATGGGATATCCATCAGTTTAAGCTTGGTGTATCCTGTATTTAATTTCACTGCGCGGGAGAGTCCAAAGATAATTGTGGCTGTACTGAAATCAAATTAAGCAGAAAACTGGGGCAAAAACGTATTCTATAAGGAATCTTCGCGCCGTCAACATCTGAACCTTCAGGGCTTTGTTGACGTGAAGTACAAACAAAATCTTACCGTGTGTCTGTAGGGTGGAGTTCATAGGTTTTGCACTAAGGATATTGTTGATTCAGGATTACGGTTTGTGATCAATACCATTAACGATGTGTACGAAGAGAAAATTTTGAGCGAAAATACATTGCATCTATGGGTAACGGAACTAAGAAACGACGCTTCGGTCCACAAGAGGCACGTCTAAATTGCTGCTAGGACGAGGCTTTCGAAAATTACACCGTCTAACAACCTCTCTCTAGTCATTTACCGCAGCTTGCAAAAATTGAATGATTCAGTTAAGATACAGCCGGTTTGCCAGATGACGACACACTGATTGTGTTTCACCAACCGACAGTCTTCTTTGCTGGTTTGCAGCCTACTATCCTTCACTTAAACTGTTCCTCTCTTTGCGATTACGGTCGCTGGTTTATCCCAGAGCATATACCTCCCTGCACCTGAACTAAAATGCTCTACATATGGTCAGCTCAATTATAAGGCATCCAGTCAAAACGGACTTTCGAATCACACCCGCCGAATAGCTTGGTGTCATTCATTCAAGTGCCACACAAACATCGGAATATCATCCTAGACAAAGCGCACTTTACAAACACAGATTACTGCAAACTTGAAATCACCTGGTCATCAGCAAAGACATGCAAAAAGACTGCATTTACGTTGGACTGTCAAGGACTCCTCACTAAGAGTCTCCCAAGGACATTAAAGGGTCGATTATTTAATTCCTAACCCACAACTTCTCATCCATTATGCCCTCAACCTTGTCATCTATTTACAAGAGCTTTTATCAAAGGCTTTCGGTAAAAAATTGTACCCTTGATAAACTTTATAAGCGAAGCCGTATCTGTAAAAATCGTGTTTCAATTTTCTATTTTGTTCGCCCGCTGAATATAGAAAAAATCACTTAAATTCAACAAAATGATTAACGCAACATATATCAGGCTGACATTTTGTAACCACCATCTTCGAATGTGACACCATGCAGTTCGTTTTCGGGAAACTTAGCGCATCAACTAACATTTACTGCATCCATGCTCTTTGACCGTATATTGATCCTTTAAGAAATTGACATTGCTCGGACTGTTGGTAGTGCAAGGAGATTTGTTTGTTTTTGTGAGTGGCGATTTTGTCCTGGCAGTGAAGCCAATCTATTCTGAAAGACCGAGAAGAACTGTACGGCTGTTTCATCCCTATTGAAAATCATCAGCAGTACACATCTCACGAAACTCCGTAGAGTCTCGAACCCGCGAAGCCCTGGATAGCAGTTTAACACTTAACCTCTCGGCTTCGAGCGGCCGCTGTACAGTGCATGGGCAAAATCAGTCCCGTTGGACAAAAGGTGCTGTTCGACCGCTAACAGGTACCCTAAGGTCTTTCCCCCTGAATCCTAACAAAATTTCTAAGCCCACACTGTCTTTCTTCCTAGTTATAGGGGCTTGGTCACGTATTTGTTTCATTACTATTTGTTTTATCTTATTTGAGCAAAATTCCTTGATCTGCGCAAATTTCGATGGGGAGAAAAAGCTATATTACCCAAACTTGAATTAACTGATGGTGGACTCTAGCGTATCCATGGTAAGCAACACATCTCACAAACTCCGTAGAGTCTCGAACCCGCGAAGCCCTGGATAGCAGTTTAACACTTAACCTCTCGGCTTCGAGCGGCCGCTGTACAGTGCATGGGCAAAATCAGTCCCGTTGGACAAAAGGTGCTGTTCGACCGCTAACAGGTACCCTAAGGTCTTTCCCCCTGAATCCTAACAAAATTTCTAAGCCCACACTGTCTTTCTTCCTAGTTATAGGGGCTTGGTCACGTATTTGTTTCATTACTATTTGTTTTATCTTATTTGAGCAAAATTCCTTGATCTGCGCAAATTTCGATGGGGAGAAAAAGCTATATTACCCAAACTTGAATTAACTGATGGTGGACTCTAGCGTATCCATGGTAAGCAAGAAATCTGGCTTCATTGCAAGTCCATAAGCCACGTGATTTCGACCGCGCGCATCTGTTGAGTAGTCGAGCGAACAATATTTGTTTCAATATGTTGTTATAGTACCGTATATGAAGCCTACTGTCATCTATGTTCATGTAACGGAATA